AAAAGCCATTCGATTCAATCCAGTTTGGTCCGATTCCGTTTGGGAGTTTGTCCAACCTTAGGTACGGATATTATCTGACTTGTGATCTGTGTAAACATGTAGTTTTCGGAAGCAGAAAAAGTGTTAAGGCTCAACTGTCAGTTTGCTTACTACATGAAAGATCTGGGATCGCCCACGCTTCTGTTTGTTTTGTTTAGCCAAAATTACACAGCCAGATTATGCCTTCTCCTTGCTCATCCCCGTATATCCTGCAAATGTGCCCTACTTGTTTTATTTCGTTAGCTGGCTTTACTGATTATTAAGTGTCATAAGTAGGACCTCACAATCTAGATTCTATTAAAAACCCATCTCTATAGGCTCCAAATTCATACATATATGGGTGTACACATAATTCTTAGTTGGAGTAGATTGACCCCAGACTTGAATTAAAATAAAAGCCACGGATACGAGTGGGGTGAGAGCGGAGGACCAACCTATTATCTATCACTCTTACGAGGAAATATGTCGGCACACTTTGGCCTACATTAATAGAAATTGGGGCATCCTGCATTTTGGGTACAATAATAAATTTCCAATATGACTACTACGAATTGAGTGTAATTTCTTTATAGTTTTTGCATATTTAACTAAAGGTCAAATCGATCCGTTCCAAATATGTTCTATGTTTTATATTCATCATTAATATAACATACCATGTTTATGTGTGTGTATATATTAAATGATCAGGATATGTATAGCTGCAGATAGCATGAATTATTCTACCATGGTGGCTTCATATAATTATATAATTATCAAGCCACCATGGTGGCATAATTCATGCTATCTGCAGCTATTTATCCTGATCATTTAATAGTTTATTAATTTTCATAATTTTCTCCATATATATATCTACCTAACTAGCTAGCCTTTCTAGGCTACTTTTATAGGGCTGCTTTTATAAAATATAAACTTTGGTAGCTCCACCAATATTAATTTTAATTCTACTCCTTTCTTAAAAAAAAACTTTTAATTAAAGCTAGGCTTATAGATAGATCCTATAAACTTTGTGTATGAATTTCAAAAAATATATCTAGCTATCTAATTATTACAATATTTTGCATTATCGACCTCTTCACGTGCAATTAGATATTCCTAGTGCAAGATACGTTATTATAGTTGTCTACACATTAAAATATTAGCATTTTATGGGATCTTTTGTGGTTAATTGTGACCCAAATTTCATTGAGAATTGACGGTTTGGTTGAAGGATTTGAAGAAGTTAAAATATGGATTTGGGATTTTTGGGACATCTACGCGTCAATTGGGTGTGAAAATCGGATTTGGAATAGAGAGTCAGCGCCCGAGCACCAAATGAAGTATTGTCCCATTGCTCGTTGTCAGTGAGGTTGGCGCTTGAGTGTCGGTGTTACCCGACACAAAGCCTATTTTGCAATTTGACGAATTTTAGGATACTGTTTCCTTCTATGATACTATAATTAGGGTTTGATATGCGTTCTATGTATAGTTGGCTTTTCATTGTATAGAGAACAAGTTAGAAACACATCTTATATTCTTTCATCTTTTATTGAATTCTCCTCTTCTACCAATGGTGTTTTTTCACGTAAATCTTGGTTTTCTTGATTGTTATTCTCATCTTGCCATATTACTCTTGGCCAATTAATAATTTGTTGACTTGATTATAAATATGTGAGGTAAAGTTAAGGACGGTATATATTTTTTTAATAGATTTTATGAAAAGTGATTTTTAAAGAATGTGTGGTTTAAAAGTGGAAAAAATTATGAGTTCACATGCACATTTATTTTATTGAGAGAATACGATGTTGAAAATAAGTTAAAAGTAGGTGTACCAAACAAGAGCTAAGTAACAATAGATAGAATAAATGGTTCGTATTTTTTACACTTTTAGGCTACATTCAAGTAGACTGTACAAGAAATTATGCGTAAAATTAAAGAATGTTAATGTATTATAGTGAACTAAAATGGATAGAATTTATAAGCTTTTTGTTTAAAAGAATACTATTTACATTAACTTTTTTTTATCCATTCTAAACTCTCCCTCTCCGAATTATGTTATCTGGTTATCCTAAAAAAGATCGTCAAAATAACATTTTTTTCCAAAAAAACCCAAAAAAAAAAAAAAATAATAATAATAATAAAATAATAATAATAATAATAATCCCCCTTAGTTCACTCTAATACTTTCTACATAATATATCTACTAATTTTATGTCTAATTCTGTGTGCCAAGGACAACCTTAAGGTACACAAATCCTTGCATAAACTTGTCATAATTAGACTAAAAAGGGGGAGAAAAATCTGAAATAGTAGGCTGCACAATATTATTTGTATTCCTTCCTTTGCAATAAACTTTTACCTTCAATTTTCTCCCAAATTCGGATTTTTTTTAATTATTATTTGACTGCATGTTCTTACTAATATTACAATACCTATATTTCAACACGATTGCTTAAAACAGGTAGCTCTACAATGGAAATTTTGAAGCAATAAATTAGGGTTCATTTCAAGAAGAAAAGTAGCGTCACGTCCTCTACAAATTTTAATATCTAGAGAAATATTTACTCTTGGTCTAAAAATATAGACAATTTCAAATCTAATATTTCAAAGAATCAAACCTTACGGCGACTCCAACACTGGACCAAAATTTCCAAAGCCTTTCTCATGCATCCAACAAGTCGTCTCCCTATTCCTTTTTCAAGGGCCATTAATACTACAACAGTCAAGAAAGCAGGTCAGCTTCAAGAAAATTTGAAGATGAAAAATGTTAATCTTCCAAGTAGAGATATTTATATATTTGAGACTAAGGAACTAAAACTATTCAATACGACTACACAAAACTAGTCGATATTTTGAATCAGATGAGATGTTTGGATGAAAACATAAAGAATAATCAATATTTTCCGATACTATTGTTGAATAGATCTGTCAGTATACAACATCAAGTGTCATAGAAGGCGGATTGATATAGTGTCTCTGAATGTAAATTATAATTATGGGTCGTTGGATTATCGTGCAAGGAACAAATTAGGGGAAGATTATCAATAGTCGATACATTTTGCGGATAAACACATTTGAGAGAGGTAAAAGTACAATGTACAAGTTTGCAAAATAAATTGCCGGATGAAAAGTCAGGTAGACACTGTAGAATCTTGGCACAAAGGAATAGAAAATTTAATCATTTGAATCAGTATTATAGTGAAAATAGTCAAAACACAATTTGTGAAACAAAATAAAGATAACAAGAATTTACTTTCGGCTATCTTCCTAGTGCATCTGACTAAACGAATAACCTTTGGCATCTTGACAATATATAGGAAAAACATCAAAAAATTATTAGCCCTGATATATACTTCACTATCTTATAGAAATGGTGCTTTGATGAATGGAAATGAAGAGGAACCATTGGTGTCCGTAAAAAGAAAGAGATTGAGCTTAATCAGATAGTTAACTAAGTTTTGTTGATTGATCAGATCAAAACTTGTATATGGACAGCTTGAAGCGTGTATATGCAGTGAATTTAAGCTGACAGTTTTAAAAATTACGTCAAAAATGAATTGATGCTGGTGATATTTGAAAAAGATAAATAGAATGAGGGGAATCAAAAGCTTTTCACTCAGGGTCGAGCTTTTCGAAAATATTGCATTGAGATATAAATATTCATAGAACTGAAGAACATGGTTCATAAGTTGCCCAAAGTAAAATATTTTCTGACATTTGTGAAGAATGTGATCATGGAAAGCATCACACACAATCTTTTTTTGAAAAGAAGGATCTTCAAGAGGAAAGGAAGAGCTTGAATTGGTGCATAGACTTGTGGTCCTATGGAGATGCTCCTATGAAAACTGTGGGTATTTTACCTATTTATTGATTTTTAACACTGAAAAAAAAAAAAAAAAAAAAAAAAAAATGGGGTTTCAGCTATGAATTCCCCTCAATCAAGTTTACTGAAGATAAAAGTAGTGACGCATAGCACGCAATTGGTCTCCAAAACCAAATAAGTAGCTCCTAAAAGCATAATCAAGGTATGGTAGAAATTGGACCAAGTCCATGCTTCATGAATAGGTTGCACAAAACTTTTTCAGTTGAAGTTGTACATTTCATTCAACTATATACACCATTTGAAGCTTGGAATGGAAGAAAGATGGCTTGGTGACATTTGAAGGAACACAGTGGCTTCAACTCTCTCGACAAATACATTTTTATGTTTAACAATGAGAAGTGAAATCGTATGGAACATGCACCATGGCATCATATATGATGTATGACAAGCAATATTTATAGAGCTTCTGCAATGTAAATACTAGAAACTGTATTAATGTGAATGTGAAACTGGAAACAGACAATTATGTGATTTCTGTTCCATTTTAAGCATATAATTTAACTTGCTAATCACATTTTCACTTCTTTTTTTGGGTAAAATTCTTTTATGGGATACCTAATGCTAAAGAAAATCGCAAGAAAGAACCTAGAGGTTAATCAATATCCACGTTAATCAAGAAGAAAGCAAGCATATAAAGCAAATACCTTCTGCTTTAATATTGATTATCTGTACATAGTAAGTATATAGAATTAACGTGACCATCCCAGGTCTATTATACTAGTGCACCTTTAAATGGAAGAATCACAGGCCTATTGTAACTTTGATGGAAAAACAAGGCCAGTGAAAGAAAGAATGTATTATATAAAAACCAACAATTGTGGAAAAAAGGAAGAGAAAGTAATAAAGAGATGGAAAGAAGGTTGCAGGGATTAATGATGAATGTAAGCAAATTAAGCTAGATGATGTACCTTTTAAAGCTCTGCAACAATTCTGCTGCTGCACCTGCCGGCGTGCCCATCTAAGCAGCGACAACAACAACAAACTACCAAAAGCTAATAAAAAACAAAAGTGATAAAAGATGAAGTAGTTCAATTCTCTGCACATTATGTTAACCAACACAATTTATATAGAGAGAAAATTGAGGAAGAGAGTTTATATCAGCTCAGCCGATGATCCAAAGTAGAATATAAGAATTTAGAGAAAACAACTAAAGAGTAAATATGGCATGGGTACATTCTTAGGATCCATGCCCTACTTAGGGAAAGCATAAAATAACGGGCTTGAAGGATCTACAATGTATCTGTGATTTATCTATGCAATATTATGCCTTTATACACAGACTGAAACTCAAACATTAGCATGTGGAAATTATCTTTCATCTCTGATGAAGCTTCTGTGATGCTAGTGAAATCTCAGCATTCTTAAATAATTGTGTAATGTTCTTCCATGTAATGATGTGACAATATCTCCGAGCGCCACTGCGGTTGGACAATGAAGTTGAGCAATATTGGTAAAGATATATGCCTCTTCTGCAGGATCTTACCTCTTTTGAATCTCAAAATGTGGACATGAATTCTTCAGGTCAGATGTCTAAATCCAAGGACATAGACCCCTTGCCCTTGTTGAGCAGGTCCGATGGCACAGTTTGGGGCCTTGACTGGAGAAAAGAAAATGATCTAGGAAATGAAGAAGAATCAAAAGTGGGAGGCTGAAGTTCCATTGTTGTATGTGTTACACTTGTGGAAGACAAGATATCACATCCATCTGACTCCGAAATGGGACAATCCATGTTCACACCAAACAGTCTGAGTCGCTTTGCTGCAGACTTCCCTTGGACCACCGGCACCGATTCAAACACCATCTGCTCAACCCCAACCCCACCACCCCTTTGCATCTGAACCATTCCGAGCTGATGTGGGGCTAATGCTCCAGTTCCAGCTCCAGTTCCAGCTCCAGGTCCAGCTCCGGCAGCCGATCTAACGTAGACTATCGAGCCAGCCGAACAAGGGTTTCCGGTTATAACGTTAGTACTATAACCGTAAGGTCCATTACCATATCCATATGGATTATTTGGATGAGATTGATGAGTATTGACGTTGGGTTGCATAAAGTGTGAATAATCCCTGGTCAATGGTGGCTCCTGTGAGTGAAAATATAGAGGATTCCACGGGTGAAGAGTCCTGTGGAAAGAGAATTGATGTGGAGCTGAGAGAGAAGGAACAGGAGGAGAAAGGTGAAGAGCATCTGGACGGCGCCTCCAATCAATGAATAATCGATCCTTTCCCAAGTCGCCGACCCCACGCTGAAAAGAGACTGTGTCACCTGCATCAAGCTTCTTTTCCTTAACAAAGCGGCTCCATCCTTTGGTCATTACATAGCTCTGGCTGCTGTTCCAGTAGGAGTACCTGAATCGCCATGGCTTTCCATTTCTATCCTCGAAATTCAACAGAAGTCCTTTCTCATTCGTGGATGAATCTAAGGGGAAATACTTTTCTGCATATTGTTTTGGAATGACTAATCGATTGAGCTTGCCCACATCACTTGGTGTCACTACTTTGTCAAACATATGCTCCCTCTCGATAAAGATGGAGTTTCCAGCCATACTACTGCCTTCTCCTCCTCGGCGAAGAACAATATGATCTTCGGAGTCATTAGTCTCCTCTGCATCTCCATTGTTGTTGGGCGAAGAATCGGGCATGAGCTCAGGTTGAACACATCTCTGAGATTCCTCAGCTTCTTGCCGGTGGTAGGTGTAAGGTACAACACCTTTTTGCTCAGAAGATGAGGGGAAGAAAGAGTACCGTGATGAAGGATTCATGCCTTCTGAACTCGCTTCTTCTTCATAAAATCCCGGCCTACCTGACATGAAATTCATGATCTGTATGCCTATTTTCCAGTGTCACTTTCTAAACTCAATCTGACAGATCTACTCTAGACAAATGAAGAAGAGCAAAAACTAGGATTTATTCTTCTTGTTATCAAGAAAAAAGAAGAAAAATCTTAATCTTGAATATGTTAGGTAGTAGCTAGGGTTAACAAGAAAACTCACTTTCTTGTTTCAAAAAATTCAAGAATATCGACGCAGTTGAGAGTCGGTGCTTGCTTTGTTATTTGACCAAACACGTAACCATAGGATGGGTACCCCATGGACGGGATGGACGATTCAAAAAAGTCATGGCTAATTGAGTTGATCATCTATTTATTCTTTCTACTCGCTGTTGACCGTTTATTCTTGGTTGATACCTCCTCCCTGGATGCTTCCCATGTCAAGAGATTGAATAATGTTACTTCGTCATACCAAATGCAGTGACGAAAGACGCCGTGGCAAGAGATGAATGGATGTAAAAGCTGACTGTATTTAAAGTAATCCACTGATAAAATGTCATGTGATAATATATCGACAGGCCATGCTATATATACACGAACGTTTTTGAGGGGCGTGTAAATGCCTATGTACAAATAGTAAATTTCATGTGTCAACTATTATGTCGAACTTTCTGTTCATGTAACATGATTGTAAGGGATTTTCATTCAAATAAAAATTATTTGTGTGAGGTAGGGGCCCATTAATTATCTGGTTGAATTCATGTGAACTCGTCCTTGTACAGTATTTGGAAGTAGTTTTTTTGTTTAAAGACCAAAGCAGCCGCAGCCAGCTGTTTTGTACAGCACGAGCTTCAAATTCTATTTGTGTTTTGTGCAACTTGACTTAGTATTATTCACAGTATTATTTATATACTTTACAATTATTGCCCAACTTCATCAATTCATATTGGCTTCTTCATTAACTATACTATTATTACTATTCACGTTTATATATCTTAATAATTTTGCAACAAACAAGCAGCTCACTTGCTTTAAATTATTATTCATTTGCTGTCACATTACTCCGGACATGACCCTTTCTACTGTATTGCTTAACATAATGAAAAATTTGTAACTATCTTCAACCTTTAAAAATTTAAGCATTTTTTTTTTTTTTTTTACAAGGTGTCCTATTCTAGACTAATCCTTGAGTCTGTGATCCGGCCCCTCTTCACACAGTCCGGTTAATCGCAGGATGTGCCTCCAATTGGCCAGGGTCCGAGCGCTCCCCACCTGGTCTGACAAAGTGCCAAGCAAGCCAATCCAAGTTGCACCTTGCCTTCCAAGAATAATCCTTGCCTTCCAAGTTCCCACTTGCCTTCCAAGAATAAATCCTTGCCTTCCAAATGTTCCCTTGCCTTCCAAGAATAAATTCTTGCCTTCCAAGAGCCCCAT